TCTCATTTTCTGTCTGCTTGTTCATTCTTACTATAATTTCCTAATTCCTCAGCACCATGTTTAACTTTTCATAACACATTTTTAAACTAGACTTTTTCTTGTCTTAGGTAAGATCAGGAAGGTTCAGGAGCGAAGGACACTGTCAGCAATAACCTCCTTCCTCCACAGCCTGATGGCTCAGGCTGGCTGGTGCTAAGAGCTAAAGGTGCACATCCTCCTCCACAGCCTGGGGTGCAGACCCGGCACAAAGCTCTTACTCTCCCTTCTCTGTCCAGAAGGATTGCAAGTGGAGGTGTCCGTTCCATGCTGCATTTTGACTCTTTTCCCACAGAAGGGGATAGGGACTAAGAAAGCCAGGCAAGGGGAAATGCAAGTAGGTCAGTCCCTGCAATGGAGCACAAAGTAGAGCACATCATGGGAGACACATTTATAACTGTGCCCAGTAACTGGGATCACTGGGTGTCGAGCACATCACTGTAGTGACTGTCAGTAGGTCTGAGACTTTGTTATCGTTTGAGTATGATGATTTTTCTGCTTCTTTGCTAGTGCCCAAATACTTTGTCTTTTTTCTGCCACAAAGCAAGTTAGGGTATTCCTTCACCATCAAACACTTTATCGATAAAATAAAAGTCTTGCTACTTCCTGACATAGGTGAGATCAGGTTCAGGAAAAAAAAAAAAAAAGGCTGTTTTGTCCTCCTTATATTCCCTTTCTTTCTGCTTCTTGAAAGTTTTTGACTTCCTGATGCGGTCTCTGTCATCAGAGCTAACCTCCCCAGTAATTGTTTGACTTCCTCCTTGTACGATCAGGGAGACCTTTTCATACAGCTTAGGGGTGGCAAGGGATACTTGGTAATTGTATCTGTGCCACGGCTTTCAAGCCACTTTGGCAGCAAAGTCCAGTAGGTTAGCGTAGACTGTCTTCAGAGTTCAGCTGCACTCAGAACCAGGTGGGAGCACTGAGGCAATCAGGAACAGCAGCCACACGGATTAAGCAGTGGTGTTTTTTCTGCACTGCCTGTCTGCACGAAGGCTTTGATTCAGGTCCAGCGCAAAGAACTTGGCTAAAGCTCTGCTGGATTAAATCGACCTCTTGACTCTGTGCTGGGGTGGCAGATGAGTACACACATTATTTTAAGTACAACAAGGAGGCCCCTGAGTAATAGACTGGCTGCACTTAGTCAAATCAAGGGAAACCGTAACCCCATACTTTGCCTCTATTACTGCCCCTTGGTAGATATTAAGGCATAAAATACAAGAACAGGGAAGGCATGCAGACTTACGTTCTGCACTCCACCAATCTGATTGTATGGAATTCTTGATTCAGAATTTGTACCTTTACATTTAATAGGCTTTCATGGTCTTTTTTTTCTTCTATGACTTTGTATAATTGCTTTTTGACTGTATTTATGATATTGACATTACCTGACAATGAATGTCACTATTCTCTTATGCTGTATGAAAAAAAAACCAACACTTCTTTTGCTTGTTTTAAACCTGCTAATTTCATTGGGCATCCTCTTGTTCTCATGTAATGAGAAGCCAAGCATCCATTCATTGATTTTCTAGGCACTTTCCCAGTGTTCTCCTGTTTTTATACATATCTGCCGTATTCCCCTTCAGTTGTCCCATTTCCAAGCCGAAAACTCAAAATCAATTTAAGCAGTTCCAAGCTTTAATTGCCCTTCTTTAGTTCCCCTGCGTAATGTTTGAGAGGCAAGTACCAGAACAGCAGGCAGTATACAAAAGAGAGGGTACTGTGTGGTTTTGTCTAGTGCTATAAAGGTGTTGTCTGGTTTGTGCTCCATTCACTGTTTTAAAAACTTCTAACTGCTGGTGTTTTTGACTGCTAATGAGCATGGAATTTATGTTTGCTTTTGTTAGGCTTTCTTTTTTTAATTTTTTAAAATTAATTTCTTTTTTAAAATTAATCACAACTGAAATAATTTATTTGGTGTGCCTTTTGTACCTACAGGAATGTGAATTTCAGTACCTTATGATTAGTGTTTCAACAGTAACCTCTTGAACCAGCCCTGGCCTTGCTCAGGCAAGGTGAAAAAGAGCTGTTTTTATCAGAGATTTTCCAAATATCATGGTAACAAAAGTTATGGTGTTTAAACATTTAGTCTCTACATTATGCCTAGATATGACATTTGTTAAGGTTTTATGAGACAATCTCCCATTAGCTCTAATGTTCTAAGTCTTAAGTAGGGAATTTCAAGACTCTGAGAATCTCTTCATGATAAAACATACAGTTTATATTGATTCTAATTTTTCTGTAATGGAGCATTGCTCCTTCATTGGGGTGCCTGTGTCTCTCATCCTATATAGTCTTCCATTGGAACTGTATGGATTCTTTTAATAATTTTTTATGATGCACTGATCATATGAATATCTGTGGACTAGTTTCTTATTTTTATTTTCACTTTTTATGCATTTCTTGAATTAATAGGTAGATCTATAGGTAGGTAGCAATTCATAATTCAAAACTGACTTTTAAATCAATGGTTACTGGATCATAAAGCACATAAGATGTTATGTTAGAGGACAGAAGTTGTAAATTATATTGCATTTTCAGTTTGAAACTGAATGAGTTAAATCCTCTTTGGCTCCTAATCTTAAATACGTATTTTTTCTTCTATTTTTATATATGTGACATTCATAGGGTTTTTTTTTTAGTGAATTTTATCTCGGTCTCCCTCTAATGCATATGGTCAGTCAAAGTGAAAAAGTGTTTAATATTTAAAGATAGAATGAGAGTGTCCTTCAATTAAAACATCTCATCTACTATTCAGGATATTAGCATTACTGCTAATTACTACTGCACTGGATTTTGTATGACAATGGCAAAACTAAGAACAAAGGGAAAAAAGCCAAGGTACTGCATTTTTAGTTTCAGTTTGTGTTACACTGGTACCATATCCCTAGGATACGTGTACTAATATTTATGGAATCAGTGGAAATCAGTGCATTCTTCACAAGTTTTGTGAAGTTTAAGGCATCTGTGGCACTGACTGAGACTGGTTTTTTTAATTGAGGAATCCTTTTTTCAAAATATGTAATATTTCAGACATACACTCTCGCCAGTAAAGGTAACATGTTTCTAAAGCAATAGAAAAGTACACTTCCAACTGAGCACTGCCTCCAAGGCTGTTGGTTTTCAGGTGCTCTGAAATACCCTGCCCTATCAGAGACCAGATCTGATTTTGACATATTTTGGAGGTACAGTTTTGTGAGTGGATCAATGTGGATTTCCTTTCCTCCCCTTAGACTCCAAATCCTGCTCCCCTGCTTTAACCCCAGCAGTCAGAGAGAGCTCCTGCAGACTGGGGGAGGTCTCATCACAGGCAGCCCCACAGAGGCACATCTCACTGCCCTTCTGGGGCTCTGGGTTAAACCTGCGGCCAAAGAAAACCTTCAGCGACTCAAAGTTTCATTCAGCCAGCCCTAAGCCCAGAGTCAATGTGAGGGCCATTTAACACAATAAATTTTTCTAGTGTATTACAATTACTGAAACATCTGTTATGAATATTGTTTTGCTAAACCACTGTGAAAAATTCACGGAGTATTCAGTAGTTGCAAGGCTGCTTAATTACTTAGCTGTATTGAGATGGTCATGTAGCTGAACCTTGTAAGTTATTGGAAACACACAGGAAAACAAGTACCAGTAATAATTTTTATTCTGCCTGCAGAATGTATTTTATGATGGTTTACTGTGAAGGTATAACATAGGCATTTATTTTTGTCATGCCTATATGTGGTTAAAATAATTTTTGTCAGTTACTACTACTATTTGATCGTACTGAAGCCCTAAATTGTGGGATAAGAAATTAAAAAATGATCAATTTAATATCCTTACACGGGTGCTTTTTTTCCTTGGAAAAGTTTCTCAAACATGGACAGTATTTTTAGTTTCCCATACTAACTACAGTAAATCTACTTGTAAAGTGTCATGTTCACTGCCCTTCAAAGCAACTTAGAGATGAAAAAAGATAACTGCATAAATAGCAGGTTTTCATCTTTATGTCTTATATTACTATTTATGTTTTTTTCTAGAAAGCACATGCTTTTTAAAGTATTTTTATTTAATAATGTTACTATTTTATTTTTAATCATATTTTTGATGACAAATTTGCTGTATCAGTAAGAAACCAATTTTGAGATCAGATGTGCTAGAAATGCAAACATATAGATATTGATAGATAAGATGAAACTATGGTCCATCTAATATAATAATCCTTCTCACAGAAAGTAGATGACTCAGAGAAAGTTGCCAGAAATTTCATGAGATAAATAGAGGGTAATCTGTCAGCCACCTTAAGTCTTCTCAGAATTCCATAGTACTTTCAGATAATGTTAAGCCCTAAAGCATAGGGTTTCAACTTTCTTTGAAAATATATTAGCATTAACTATTACAAATTTTGAGCTCATGAATGGCAAAGATTTGACAAATATGAAAACCAAGATAGTTGAAACATTACTGAAAACTGCAAATCTCTGAATCATTGAATGATTATTTACTTTCTAAGCAGGTGAAATAATTTGAGGGAGTGAAAATGACACAGCATAACGAATAGTCAGTACTTTTATCATCATTTTGATCCTTCAGAAACTCTTGTTTCATGGCATAAATGTTGTAAAACTAATTTGTCCTAACTAATGATTTGAAATAAGAAAACAGCTTTGGTATGCTACCTATTTGTCAGGTATTTGGATGAGAGGAATGTAAATTTAGCCTGTTAAAGAAAGTGTTATTGTGATAGATGCTTGTGAGCATGATTTGATCACTAGTGGTACCACCAAGAAAATTAATTACCATTTCATGAAAGGTAAATATTCAATTTCACTGAAAATATTCTGTACTAATCTTTATATTAGCTGATGAGCCAGATCCTACCTCACACAATCCTCCACAATCCTCCACAATCTAAGACAAAAGAAGCAGCAGCAGCATATGTATTTCTGCAATCTTATGTGTTATTCCTTTTCTTTTCGTTCCAGACAACTATTACGGCACTCCGAAGCCTCCAGCAGAACCAGCTCCGCTGCTGTTAAATGTGACAGATCAGATCCTCCCAGGTGCCACTCCCGGGGCTGAAGGCAAACGTAAAAGGAATAAGTCTGTGAGCAATATGGAGAAGACAGGCATTGAACCACCAGAGGAGGAAGAGGAAGAAAGACCTGTGGTCAATGGAAATGACGTGACAGTAACACCAGGTCTGTTCTTCCTTCTTACTTTGCAGTGCGTTTCTGTTATTCACAGAGTCCTCAGTTACCTCCTTCTGCAGTGAACATATGCATGTTCAGGTAAGGATATTCTTGCAAGAGTGAAAGCCAGGAATTCTGAATAATAGGATCTCTCTCAAGTCTAAAACAAATTTCTTAACCTCTACTTTGGGGACTCATCTCACTTACCTCAGCTACTGTAAAGATTTCTGTCTGTTAACGACTCCCTTTGAACCCTCTTTATAGACCAAAGAGAAAAATACCTACTCTTTGAAGGTGGTTTGCGTGATTAGATTTTGTGGTTTAAATTTCCAGGTTAGGAAATCAGTCACAAGTGCCTGTTTCTCTCTGTTGACTACAGAGGGAGTCTGGAGAACTGTAATTTGGTCAAATGAATGAAGTCTCTGTTTCAGATCTTTTTGTTCTCAAATGGTGATTACTCACTAGATTGTTCATCACATTACGAAGTGAACCTTTATAAATTGTTACAAAACCTTAGCAATATTGTGGAATAGTAAAGTCATCACATTAACAAATTTTTGGCAGTTCCAGTGAAACTTAGCTGGCAATACTACCAGGAAGACCCTTCTCAGCAATGTTTCAGAGCCTGCATAAAGCTGATAAGGGTTTCAGATGTAGTCCTAAAAGACAGCTGTTCTTTTACCCCTTGGATCATAGTGATTCAGAAAAAAAAAGGTGTTCAGTGTACTGACTGGTATCCCAAGTGAGAACACTCCAGCCTTCTCTGAAGCAGGTAATCAACTTGCCCCTCAACATTTCATCAAGGCAATGTTTTATGGTACTTAATTTTTATTCTGAAATAGCATTTAAGAAATTATTTTGTTGTTGTTCAAGTAGAAAATTAAAGAATCCAGACTTTTATATCTCTCTGAGAAATAACTCTGTGGATCCTTTTTGGTAAACTTAGAAATTTAGAAACAGATTATTGAAATAGACATCTGTAATGAAAATCATATGGGTGAGAAGATAAAATGAAATACTGCAAGTTCTCTAAATGTATATGTTACTGTGAAACAAAATATCCATTACCTAATCTTCTAAGCACTGTAAAAGGATTTTCGTACTGCAGAGTCTATATATACCTTTTTTCCTCCTACTGCCTTACAAAGTATAGCAAATTTAATATCTTCTCATCAAGGATGTATTTGCCACATGCCTTTCTGTAGCTGTTGCCTAACATTACACATAAGGGAAAATCCCTGTACAGAACCCATCCCCATCTAGCAGGAGGGTATCAGGGAGAGGTGGGGTGAGTGGGTCTGGTTCTTCCCCTCATGCCTCCGAAGGGCTGCAGTATTGCTCCCTGGCCACTGCTATCACATGCTGTAAGAGCCTTGCTCATCCCTTCCACATGACATTGCATCTGTTGGCATTGCTCTGGCATTTAATGCTTTTGCTGCACATTTAAGCAGGAAAGGATGAAGCCCAGAGATCCTTACATAAAACATCAGCACTGCCTTTGTTGCCAGGATACTTCCACAGTGAAAGAGGCGAAGGCAGGATTTGGTCTCTGATGTGTATTGTAGAAATCATTAGAAAGATCATTCTCAGTAGTTATTCAAAATGTGCCACATAACAGACCATTGCTGAGGAGCAATTTCCAGGACAATATGTTTCAGCTCCAGGTGGATCAAGGCACTGTTTACCTGCTTTTTTCCTTGCATTCTGCACCTATAATTTTCTTCTCCCAGGCAAAATCTGTGTGAGCGATGACTAGGCAGCACCCAAGAAGCAGGAACTTCTGTGCTGTGTTACAAAATTAAATACATGAGCATGGGTGTAAGACAGCCCCTCCTCCTCCTTTTCCTCACCCCCCCAAAGTAATTCCTGTCGGTGTGGCCAGCAGAACAAGCAGTGCCTGTGTTGGCTCTCATGGTTTCATAAGCAGGGTTTTGTTGTTCAGATACACTGATTGAGGACTTTGGGGATTGTAGCAAAGCAGCTCTGTACATACATGCTGTGTTGCCTTTGTTGGGCAGTGTGGCTCCCACAGACCCTGTTACTGCAGTAATTTTCTCTGTGAGCTGACAGAGGCTTACTTACCTCTAAAATGTGAGTGCATTTGTAGTTTGTGTCTTTGAACAATCAGGAAAACCAGAATATTTTAATTAATTTATTTATTTTTAAACTCTCAGCGGAGGGAGCAATCTAGTTTTGATACAGAAACAGCAAAGGCAGGGTATTTGTTATTTCCAATTATTTTAGAAAGTGTGTTCTATTTTAAATACTTCACTTCTAACAGGGGGCTTTTATTAACTATAGGACTCTTGGGACATCTGAAATATTGACACATTTTTAAAGATGCTCAGCAACTTAATGGCTTATTAACTGCCTATCTGAGCCTCTCAATTCAAAGGACCACTGTAACACCTAGGACTACTAAGTTAAAATAGTAACGGGTTTAAGATGATTCTGAAGAAACCCATCTTTATCAGACCAATTAAGTGACATCTGTGGTTACAGAGATCTTTCTGCTTTTGGTCTGAATTTTCAGACAACTTTTCAGCGTCTGTTAACATAATTTTTGCATCTGTTGAGCTTTATCAATTTTCCATTGATACCTTCCACATGCCTTGCTTCATGTCCATCAAATTTCCCTGAGACAGTTGTATTTGGACAAACTTGCCATAATCGTCTTCTTAGTAATTTGTGCTGCCAAATGTTTTTAATCTTTCTAACTTTTGTCACCTTTCCTCAGCCTGGAACCCACTTGGAGTCTTTCTCAGTGCTTCAGGATGGGGCTTTTGGCCATTTAGGATGGAGCACTTTTAGTCCTTCATCCTGGATCATGTTCTCTCAGGACAAAATAGTGTCATTTAGGAAATGGGATTTATCTCATCCAGCTTTAGTAAACTGTATGCCTAAATGCCTTTTTGTTTCATCTATTTGTCTCTGCTTTTCTGATATAAAGTAAGGAGGAAGAGGCAATTCCAAAGAGTAAGAGAGCGTAGCTGTTTTAGATACTCATTTTAGGGGATCACCTCTACAATTTAGAATGATTAATTCATCCTACAGATGCAGAGGAGCCTAGATGGTTAAATGTAAATCAAGAATCTTACTATTTGCCAGGAAGCAAATATGAGAGACATATTCTATAGATCAGTTGTTAAAATGGCCAAGTCTAGAGTTAGCACTAGATTTCTTACACTTAGCCTAATTCCCCACACTACTGGGTGAGACATCTTGCACCTGAGAAGCCTTTCCTGATGGACAGTGTTCAAATGAATGATTTCTGCAAAACTGATGTTTTGACAAAAGAGGTAAAAAGAGTCTTGGTCAAATTGCAACCTGCAACTTGTCAGACATTCAGTTTTTACTGCTGTTGCTGTGTCTGCAGAGAATTAAGTCCGTCTCCTTCGCAACCAGCATCATGCTTTGACACAATGTTGGTCATGTCACATTTGCTTCCCACTTCTGACTGATGAAGTATTTACCATCTAAACTCCAGAAAAATCACTCTAACCTTGAAGGCATGCTTATGTATGTGCGTCATTCTGACATTACTTGAGCAATGATAAGTTGCACCCAGAGAATAAAGTTCTATGAGGCTCAAATTAATTGAGGGGTAAGATATGACATAAAGTTTCAAAGTTATCATTCCAGACCATAGGATGATAAGGAAACAGAAGACCAGAGCCCCAGTGCCATTAATCATCATGCAAGGTGCACTAGTCCCAGGCAACAGGTTGAGTTTATATTTTTATTATTACACAGCAAAGACAGCCAGAGGCGTGAAAACAACATACGCAGATTAGAATAGATTACTTAGGTCATCTGAGTTGGTCCTTCCAGAATAAGAGAATACGTTTTCAAACTTCACTGCCTGAATAATATGCAGTAGTAAATAAAGGAATAAAGAGACAAGGTACTCTTACATGGCAATTTCAAGTATTAGACTGTAAATAATAGAAACAATTTGAAGTGCACACGACAGCATTGATGAAGGCTCAAATGCTGAGACTATCACAACATAACTACCAGGTTTTTTTTTTTTAAATGGTCACCATATTGTCTGTGAACTGCATAGAGAATATGTCATATCAGCAGTAATATTTTAACTGCTGGTATTTGGAGCTGGGTACTACAGAGATGAAATTGTGGTATTTAATGATAAATACTCATTTTTAGCATACACATTATCTTGTTCTCTATTCTGTCACTTCTCAGGACACTCACTCTTGAGAAACTGTGCTAACCTGATTTTGAAAACTGGACCATGTAATCTGTTTTGTAGTGAGACAGAAGCTCCAGTAGACTATTTCACTTGACATAAAACCCATTGATTGTTTTTTTATAGTGACAAAAATACTTCTGGACTCATATTATGGTACAATTTTAGGATCTTTTTTATATTGTATATTGTCTGAAGGTAGATATTTATGCTCGCAGTGCATTATTGTAGTATTTCAAACTTTATTTGTACATTAAAGACAGTGAGAGTTTTTAACCAGAACTCAGTTGTTTGGGATTTTTTTATCAAATCAGATGCTATATATGAATGTATATTACCAGAAAAAAAAACCATTAAGATGAATATCTACCTTTTCTGGAGTATGATAGATACATATAAGAGAAAATAAGATGACACCACAGGGCTGTATTCCAAATAAGTGTGACTAGGATGTCCACTGTGTAAAGCTTACAGTTATTAAATGGCATTAGGCAATTCCACCTTAATTGCTTGGGGTTTAGTCATCATGATGCCTTCTGCATTATCAAAGTAAGTTATTAAAAGATAATGATCCAGTAATTAATTATTCATGAGATCGGCTTTAAAATAATTATATTTTAAGTTGTTAAATAAGCATGTTTCTCTTTTTTTCCCTGCTGTATTTTGATAGCAATCTCTGGTCTTAGAAAAGCTCAGAATATTTTTTTCTAATCCTCAAGGCTTAATTTTCACTTTTTTTTTTCTGTCATCATGAGGGCTGGGATTTGTTTTGTAGTTATTGAAAGAAAATCGAGAATCTGACCCCTTCAGACTTGTTGAAAATAAGCTCTTGAGGAAGAACACATATTAAAGTTATCATGGTAAAATCCCAAGACACCGCAGTGTCACCACATCTGTGGTCTGTCAGGCCAATTGGCTAATCAATAGTCATTGTGTGTGATGCACCTGTGCTCCAAATGTATTTGTTCTACTGCAGTTTATCTGCCATGGGGTCTTATGTCTTGTATTCACTTTAATCTGTACATCTCCCTTCCTGTAGCAGAAATGTGGTCAAGACTGCAGGCAGCCACAGGAATATAACTCACAGATTTGTTCATGATGCTTCAAACAGATGAGGACTTACTTTTGCAGAGATAAGAACAAAACACCCAAAAAAATTTTCAGCAATTACATTGTCCTGTTCTCAGGGGAAGTGGAGACCATATATTGTGTCTGCTTTGCAGAAAACTTTTATATAGTTGAAAATGCTTTCGATATCTATCAATCTTTTCTTCTCAAGATTAAAATCACCTGTTTTTCAATCTTGCCATGTTTCCAATATCTGTTTGGTTGGCTGGTTGGTTTTTGTTTTGTTTCTTTTCTGTCATCTGAACTGTTTCCCATCTTTCTTGTCATGAAATTCTTGAAACTGGGCACAGGACTCCTCATTAAACTTTCCTGTAGCTAAAGGTGGAAGGACCTGTATTGCATATGTTTGCTGTTCCTGGCTATTATGATGCTTGTTTTTCCTTTGCAATAGTATCATTACTGATTAAAGGTAATGGTTAGACATCCCTCGCACATCCCCATACCTCAATTACATTTTCACTAGGAATTCTGCCTAGGCATTTGCTCCCTATCCCGTATTTTTACAGTGATTGTGGAATTTTGCATCAGGTAGATGCCCCATATTTTGGAAAACCAAGGTAAGTCAGGGAGTGGTAGATAAGGAGAAGGGGACTTCAGCTCTCTGGAATCCTGCTGCTCTGTTGTGGGATGGAATTAAACAAAAACTGCATTTGTGTCTCTTGCAAATTCTTTTCTTCCCACAGACAGATTCATGTTTCCAAGAAGCATAAAATTATTGTAATACCACATAGTTAGAGTTATGATTTAGCAGCACGAGCTGCATGTGGATGTAGAGCTATAGATCATCACCCTTTTCAGGATTGGATCTGTTTGGTTTTTTTCATGTTATTGTGACAGGTTATATGTGTCAATGTCAAAAGTCTTTTTTTAGGATCATGAAAGCTATATCTACCATTTCTCCCCAAGAAACAGCACCTGTTACTCTGTCATGAAAAGAAAAAAGATTAGTTTGACACAATTTCTTTCGAAAAGTCTTGACAAATATTTATGACCTCTGAAGAGTTTACATGTAGGTGATTTGATTGCTGGTTGCAACGCTTCTAGGAATTAAAAAGAGAAAGATGTGAAGTTACAGTTTCATGGATCTTCCTCCTCCTTTTTTACAGAAAGACACAATGGCCTAATCGAGTAAATTATTTCAAAGGGAACTTAAGTACTCAGAAAATAAGCATATAAAATTACCTGAAAACCTAGATCATAGGTGATTTGCTGAAATCAGCACTGAGTCTGTCCTTTCTGTTTCTTTTCCCCATGAATTCTCAAAGGTTTATTTTAGCCATAAGACTGCCTCCATGGTTCTCTCTGGACCCTAGGTTTCATTTCATCCAGCTCTGCCAATTGAGAATGGCTGTTTCATCAAAGTTTTACCTGACCGGTTCTCTGCCCACTCTACACCACATTCTTTACCCCTGTTGCTGACATTAATTACATTAGTCGTTTAATCACAGGTGATTTTTTCGCAGTAGTGACTGAGGCAAAAAGAGCACTAATTGCCTTGGGGTTTTTATGCATCATAAACTGTTAGCTTTCCTTCCTTCCCACATAGAAAAATGAGTCTGCTTTTGCTATTGTTATTATTATTATTACAGAAAGTTTTGATATTACCTCTATTGTCCCTGACTGTATCCCACTTTATAGACTGACTGTTCTTTTTTACTGTTAGATGCCCATGTTGTTTTTCTGTGTTCATCCTTAAAAATTTAATCTGGTTTTCACCTTTTGTACTATTCTTTCTCAAGTAGCACACCATTGAAAAGTCATGGTTTAATCAAAATTATCTCTGATTATACTTACTATTTTTGTTTTTCATTAGAACAATTTGTACTTGCACTCTTACTATTGTTTATTTAATCTTTATCAGTTCTCCTAAACTTTTTATCTTTTACCGTTGCTAGCCATAACATCAAATTTATTGATTCTGTGGGTTTATTAAAATCTGGGCTTTTTAAAATTGTTTTTGTTAATTTTTTGTTGCTCTTCTTTCTTGATGTGGTAAGCATCACTAATTAGAACATTTCACCCAACTTGTCCTCCACCTCCTACATGTTTCACACAGGTATCTGCATAGTTATTTTCTCTGGGTGCACTGTTAGTTCATTTAATAAATTGTCATCTTCTTGAACTTTATTGTGGACTGCATTGTTGAAATGTTGAAGCGTTTGGCATTGGCTGTGGGAAACTAAGCTTCCCACAGGTTATATCAGCAATGAAATCACAACCACTTTCTATATGGTTAATATATTGCTGTAAGTTGATGGATGTCATTGATTTTTTTGGTATGTGGATATAGATAAGGCAATTAGTGCATATACTTTTTTACTTGAAAAGGATCTCCAGTCTGTAGTAAAACAGAAGGGTACTTGTTTTATATGTGTTTACTTTGAAAAGTTAAGACATAAGACAGTAACACTGCTGGATATGAAGCTGCCTTCTGCTCAGTGCTTACTGCTAGTCTGGGAGAACTCCTGGGACAGAATGAGCCAGAACTCCTTATTAGTTTCTTGTTTCAGTTTGGGTTTATTGCTTTATTTTCTTTTATTGTGTTCCAGATAAAATGCACGATCAGAGGGACCCTTGTGTGTCAAACCAACAGAATTTTTCTTTCTTTCAAGACTTGCAGTTCATAGAGTCTTGCACCCAGTAAATTCTTCACCATTAATTTGGATATCCAAAAGCCATAATTTTTCTTCTCTTTTAGAATCAAGTGAACATGAAGAGAAGAGTACAGCTGCCTCGGGTGAGGTATCTTCCCCCCAACCTTGTCCTGCACCAGGATATACTCAGCCTGAAGAAGCAAAGGAGGATATGGATGTAACAAAGCAGACGAAACCTGAAGAGAACGATGACTTGGGCCCACTGCCTGATAACTGGGAAATGGCTTATACAGAAAAGGGGGAAGTCTACTTTATTGAGTAAGTCTTATTTCTTCCATTTCTAATAGCTGTAGTGTATTTAACTGGGCAGGAAAATGGTTTGTGTGGTGAAGTGGAGCATTGCACTCCTCATTAAAACAGCAGGAATGTTCTGGCTGTCAAGGCTCCTGGGGCCTGGTGACAGTTCCTGCATTAGTGATTTACATTGAAGCCTGCTGGTTTTTAAGATAGGTAACTGGTCTGCTTGCTTTGATGGCAACAGTTAAGTTGTTGTTTCTTCTGTTGAAAGCAAGGCTTTTATGCTTTTTTGGTGCTTATGGGAAAGTCACACAATTGCTGGATTTGTCCTTCCTTATGTGGACAGAGGTGGAGAGGGTGGAGCTTTCTACCAATTAAAGGAAAGAAAGATGGATGGACTGAAAACTAGCTAGTGAACAGTAGAGGGAGACCATGCTGTATTTAGAAATAGTAAAATAAATGAGTGGACTATAAGGAGTATTATGTGTGGAAGCTTTTTCCTGTTGGTAGACTATACATACCTGTTACTAATTAGTCAACTCATTGAAGAAATGGATATGACAGTTCTTTATTCTCTAAGTGCTCTCATTAATCTATTAGAGAGTGTCCAAAGGGTGACTCTCTAATAGACGGTCACACAGGGTTGGTGAAGGGTCTGGAGGAGAAAGCCTTATGAGGAGTGGCTGAGGTCACTTAGTCTGTTCAGCCTGGAGGAGTCCGAGGGGAGACCTCATTGAAGTTACAACTTCCTCATGAGGGGAAGTGGAGGGACAGGTACTGATCTCTTCACTCTTGTGACCAGCTACAGGACTACAGGAAATGGCATGAAACTGTGTCAGGGGAAGTTTAGGTTGCGTATCAGGAAAAGGTTTTTCACCTAGAGGGTGGTTGAGCACTGCAACAGGCTCCCCAGAAAAGTGGTCACAGCACAAAACCTGGCAGTTCGAGAAGCATTTGGACAACACTCTCAGGCACATGGTGTGATTTTTGCGGTGTCCTGGACAGGGCCAGGAGTTGGACTTGATGATCCTGTTGGGTCCCTTTCAACTCAACATATTCTATGATTCTATGAATAATATATGTTACCAGAATAAAAATACAGCAATCCTAGTTCATGCAATAGTGTGTTCCACAAAAGAAAAAAGAGAAAGGAAAAACTAGCATCTTTATCAGCAGAACACTACTACAGAGGTAGCAGTAGCATTTATGTTTACTTTAAGGTACTGCCTTAATTTGGAACATCAGCTGCTATTCTGATTATTAGTAGGTAAAAATAACATTTGGTGGTGTCAATTCTGCTTTAAGTCCTGTATTTAATGTAAAATGTTGTGACTATCACATGAAGTGTAGACAAATGATAAGAATAAAGTTTATCCATGTGACTTTTTAATGAACACTGGCATGACCAACTATAGCTTCTGGCATATACAAAGCTGAAAATAGCAGTAACTGTTAAAACATAAGTGTCTTTGCTAAAAAGGGCAAAAATATGCTTATTCTAGAAAAAGAGTAATTATAGTAACTTTTCCCAAGCAAGCAGAGAAGAACTAGGATGACCTCAGGGCTACCTCAAACCCTTGTTTCCTTCCTACCTCTCTCCCAAGTTTAATTTTTCTGCACATACTGAGCGCTCTGAAAGAAAGCAGACTGAATTATGTGGCACTTTTATTTTACTTGTAATAAAAACCTGTGATACATTTGGGGCATGGGGGAGGGGATGATGGGTAGATAACTAAAATACCAAACTGTGAGAGCAGTAAATACTGCAGCAGGCGATTTAATAGAAATTAAATGTATATGTTGTAACAAATACAGGGAATGCAAATAGCCCTGATGCTCTACAGAGCAGCCATTCCACTCCTCAAATTCCTTTGATGTCACAGATTGCTTCCTTTCCTGGAAATGCTCTGGTTTACAGTGCAGTTCTGACAATGCTCATCATTCACTTCCACTAAATGAATGTTATGTAAAGCAGAGAAATCAATCAGAGGTGCAGACTGGATAGAAAGGCTGTTGTAAGGGCTTCTTGCCTTTGGGATTATATTCTTGAACAATGTAGTTGCAAAAAAGTGCAATTACGCATCTGGAAAAATACCAGATTATTTACTAGAATCCTAGCAAAGGAACAACTCTCTGATCGTTTGAGTTTTCACATTGCACAGTCTTCACGGGGTTAAGTACGAATGTAATGCTGTGGGGATGCTGTTAAATTGCCTCTTTGTTTACAAGTCACTTTGGTTAATGGCATGAAGAGACTCCATTTGCTTTCACAAAAAGAGGGAAAGATAAAAAGACAACAAAAACCTATTTGTCTAACAACATCTCCCTGAACAGTAGTAAAGATTGTACTAGATTATTAAATAATAGATGAAAACCAAACATTTTTAAAGTGTACATCACAATGACTGGGAAAAACAGTCACACTAGGCAGCATCTTTTATTGCTTTATTTGAGGCTCATGTGAATTTTGCCTTTACACACTAAAGACTTCTAGCAGTAAATGATCTCAAGTTCCAGGTTGTCACAGGTATACCCAAAGATCTTAGATTTTTTGACAGCATTTTCATTCATTCACCTCAAACTAACCTCTAAAATTTGTATGTGATCTCATTTATCAAAACTGCCATCAAAATAATATGGCAGATTTACAGTGAGAGAGGAAGTGACTTCATAAGAAGAAGGATAACTATCTGTAGGCAGGATATTTGTTAATCATTAATGGTTCAGTTAGCATTTTGTAAAGCACATTGGAAGGAATTTCCTCTGCCTTAAGGACTGCAGAAAGGAAATAAATATCATCTACCAGATTCACTGAACAATTCAGAGTGTGGTTGTATTTTAGAGCATGTCTTGGTATGTTTCTTCCTTTCTTTTCCTGTCTGACATAGGTGCCTGACCTTGTGTGTACCTATTTTAGCATTCACAGGCAGAACAGGAAGAACATCTCTTCTTGCGAAATAATACTTACCACTGTTTTTCAGGAAGAGCTACTTAAGTACATTTCTTGGGCTTTTTCCAGCCCTCCTTACGTATGAATCCCAATTTTCAAATACAGACACACACTACACAAATAGGACTCCATCTCATACATTCAGTTTCATTGAGAGCATATGCTAATGAGAACATGAAATAATTAACAGACTGTATATAAATTGGAATGCCATCAAAAAAACCTCCAGATCTGCTCCTTCTTTCCTACTTTAAATATGACTGATGAGTGTGATGTATTTTGGTGTGCTTAAATAAATTATAGCCATCACTGATTTTTAGTTTTTCCCTCTCCTACGACTAAGGAAAGGCTGTGATTCTGCATAGCCTTCAGACTTCACCTTGCCAACAACTCTCAAACCACATACTAGAGACACAAGCTTCATGTTGTCCTCACAAAGTCAGCAGATGTAGGCTGTGTTGGATCCCAGGCAATCGATGTTTGCTGTGAACCCAGTGCAGCGTTTAAGGGAATAAAAAAGGACAAAGATACTCATTGCATCTTCTCTTATGTGCAGTCAGCCTTAAATGTGGCCTTCACCCAACTCTCCATTTCCATCCCATACATTACATTATAGGGTGTCCTGTACAGTTGGCTAAACATCATAATGCTTTTTTGTAAAAGGCAGAATTGGTTTTGTCTCTCTCTCTCCAGCCCTCTCTTCACCTATAGGCAGCAGAACTCTCTGGAAGGAGTGTGGGGCCAATAGATGTCACATAGCCCATAACTAAAGCTATTTGACTCTATGCTGTTCAAAACCTTATATGGTTTCCTTTGCTTGTATCATATTAATAATTGTTTTCATAGCGGAGAAAGGTCTAGAGTAAAGTCAAACCTTTTTAGAACATCTTCAGGTCCAGAGAAGAGAAACGAGGCTGGTGAAGGGACTCAAGCACAAGTCCTATGAGAGGCTGAGGGAACTGAGGTTGTTTAGCCTGGAGGAGGCTCAGGGGAGACCTTATCACTCTCTACAACTCCCTGAAAGGAGGTTGTAGCCAGGTGGATGTCAATCTCTTCTCCCAGGCAACCTGCAGTAGGATAAGAGGGCATGGTCTTAAGCTCTGCCAGGGGAGGTTTAGGTTGGATATTAGGAAGAAATTTTTTACAGAGAGAGTGATCAGACATTGGAATGGGCTGCCCAGGGAGGTGGTGTGTTCACCGCCCCTGAAGGTTTTTAAGATGAGACTGGATGTGGCACTTAGTGCCGTGGTCTAGTAACCACGGTGGTGTTGGATCAAGGGTCAGATTGGATGACCTTGGAGGTCTTTTCCAATACGATTGATTCTATGATTCTATGATCTTTAAAGGATCATATTAGTTGACTTGTGGTGATGATTTTTAGGAGAATATAGCCACATGAGTTTTAACAAACCACTTTCCAGTACATCTTCGAGACATTCAGTCTCTTACTACTTGAACACCTACTTCTTCTAACAGCACAGTCAGCATTGCCTTTTGGACCTGTTGCAGTATCTTTTTTAGTTGTTAAAGCTGCCTTCTTTTTCTTTCCTTTTTTTTTTTTTATGAGAGCACCATAAAAGACTGAAAAACAGCTATAAAAAAGTCCTTTGCCAAGGACTCTCCTCTTCACTGTAAAAAACAACCATTAAGTTTTTAAATACAGCTGGTGCTATTTCAGGTGATATCTGAAAAGAAGTACAGCTACAAATTGGAAAAGTAAAATCCTGACCTAGTTTGTTTCTAAGAATATTGCTACTGACTTCAGTGTATCAGTATTTCTTCATAGTAATTTTTAAGGTAGGAAAGTGTTTTGACTTCAGGAACATTTATCCCAACATCTTGCTTACCTGAAGAACCGTGATATATTTAGTTGTTCCTGGCTGCTCCATCAGTTCACCATCAGAAAACAGGATATATTAGTTAAGCCTGGATACACCACTAAATTCAATAACTGTGTTTTGTACTAGAAGATACTACTTAAAGGTGGAAGTATACCCTTCTGCCTGCTCAAGATTGCAGATATGATTATAGATGTCTGTAGTTCTTTTCCCTTTTTTTATATGTTGGATCA